AACTTGTTTCAGTTTTCCTCCATTTGTCTCCTCAACATTGGTCATAGTATCTCCTCTTCTCTCCATTACCATTATTTATGTTCCTAGTCTGTTGCGCAGTTAACATGAAAATTGTTCTTAACAACCTTCAGCTCAGTTTCATCCAGCTCTGTTCTACTTACAATACCCTTTTGGCCAGACCAAATTGCAAATAAGTTAATCTGTGGAAGTTACAATTAGAGACCCTACTGTACAGTTAAAAGCTTAGAATTTCATCAAGGGATAGAACATTGTCTGTTAAAATGATAAATTGCATTAGTAAGGCCTCATTTGGATAATACCCTACAGTGACAGAGAGATCAAACCTTTTTAGTCTTGAACAGATATTATTTAAGGAAGAGAAGATATTGGTTATTAGAAATCATCAAGGGCATTAACAAAGTCAACCTAGAGAACCTCTTCAGAATACAGTGAAATTTTAACCAGAGGACACATGCGTAAACTACATAGAAGTGCATTTAAAATTGATAAGAGGAAACACTTCTTCACTCAATTGGTTGTCACAGTATGGAACAAGCTATTCAGCCATGTTTTAGAAGATTTGTTTCAAGAAATGGCTGAATGAGATCCCTGGATCAATTAGCTACTTACTACCAAACTGGCTAGTGGAATGAACTGGCTTCTCATTTGTAATCTTTCTTATTTTCTTGTATTACAACATACTGTTGTATACTGAAACTGCAAGCTTGTGAAGCACACAGTCCTTTGTTATTGAGAAACTCAGGATCCCTTTTCTCTAAAAAGCTTTAAGCTTGGAGTAAATTAGGCATGTAGCATATAGGCATGCTACTGTATAATAATGTTCACATAAACCCATGAAATATTAGTTTGATAAATGATGCTTGAACCTCATATCTAAAACGATTAGTGGTATGTAATTTGAAGCAAAATTTAATTGCTTATAAACATTCAGCTTAGTCTATTTCTCAGTCTTTACCACTCACTTACCCAAAAAATCAGTGATGAATGTATTGATCAGAAGATGCAAGGATTCTTATTGTTCAGTGATGAACTGAAACAGATTCCTAATTTCTAAAATCAGTTATTTGCTGCATTTATTCTTTCATATGTTTTAGAGCTTTGCTCCAGCACTGTGGAGTTCTGTTTCAGCTTGGGATATTGACATACATATACTTTTACTGTGCTTTAATTGTTTTAGTTGGTTAGGGTTTAATTGTTTTTTTTTTTCAGATATTCAATCTACATAACTGTTTTCCCACTTTAATAAGTATGAAATTGCACAATGAAAGTACTGTATATACAAATGAATACAGGCAGATACCACTTTCATTAAAAAAATGCCTACTGAACAAAATCTCCCTCCCATTTATGACTGTTTTTAGTTCCTCTTAGGTAAAGTATAATGACAAAACATTGCATGTGCCTGTGACACAAGACCAAGCACAGCAGAAGATGTAATGAGGTCTTAAAAGTGAGAAGTGGAGGACACTTGCAGCTTTGAATTGGAATTGGCTTTAGGCACTTCACACAAAACCTGAATATGGATGGTAGGAGTAAATATTCTGCTTGGTACTATATAAGTATGTTTTCAGATAACAAAAATAATAATTAAATTAAAATTCCAAATATTGGTATTTTTAATGTGTGGCTTCACATACTGTTTAGAATTTTTTATTCTTTATGAAAAAAATATCTGAAGTAGTTTGTATATAGGTTTGTGTAAAATAATTTGTGACTTTGATATGTTTGGTTACTTCAATGCAAATGTTGCCATCACAATTTTGCCTTTTTTTTCAATCTTTTGCTGAGAGATAAAAGTGCAAACTTTTCTCCATATTGTTTTCCATTAAAAGAGCCATAGCTGAAAAATTAACTGCTACCTTCACCAAGTCAATCAGACTGAAAATGGCATAGTAATTTTATTTTTGCCTTCTAAATACAGAAATACACCTTTGTGGTCTCATCTTCATAAATTTACTAAAACATTTTAGCCAATAATGAATACATTTTGCTCAGGAGAAATTTACCTTAAAGTTTTGGGACAAAAAGAAAGAAGACAGAAAGGGAATTGTTGTGAATGTTTGCTGTTGTGGATATGACCTTCTAAGTGATGCAAGGATTTCATTAGTGCTTGTTTAAAAGACATCATCAGCGAAAATTTTAAACTTGAAGGACTTTTGTCATTGTTTAGTTGAATACAAACTCTGTGGAGGACTTTTAATCTTTAAAGTCTACATGTTAAGTTAAATGAGCAGATGAGTGTGAAAGAGTCTGGACAGAGAACTGGAATATACAGTATATCTGGAATACATTATCCATCTATTCATCATCAGTGCAGTGAATTGATCTCATGTAAACAGTAAAAAATACCCATTTAAAAAGTTTTCTCTCACAGCTAATCTAGAGAAACTTTAAGACCATACTGTTTTTGTTCTTTTTTTCATTCTCCTGCCTATATAAAGAAATATATTTTTATACTTTGCACACCTCATTAAATTAATTTATTTCATTTCTATTTTACTCAACAGGTCAAGATACTGCTTTAAGATTAAACTTTGAAGACCTTTATATTTTATTTAACTTTTCAGATTATGAAAACCTGTCAGGAAATAGTACTGGGACTTTTCTGATCGATCAAAACACCATCATCTGCCAAGGACCTCATTTCGAGCCAGCTGTGAATTCAGCCATCTGTGTTGTCTATTTCCTGATCTTCCTGCTTGCCATTCCTGGGAACATTATAGTTGCCCTGGTGATTGGATATAACTATAGATTCTTGTCGCCCTCTGACATCTACCTCCTTCATCTGGTAGTGGCAGACACCCTCTATGCTTTGAGCATCCCCTTCTGGGCAGTGAGCACTGTGCACGGCTGGGTGTTTGGAGATGTCATGTGCAAACTGGTCAGTCTGATCCAGGAGGTCAATTTCTACAGCAGCATCCTGTTCCTGATGTGCATCAGCATTGACCGCTACTTGGCCATTGTTTGGGCAGTGAAAGCCCACAGAAAGAGACGGGCGCTCTGCAGCTGGATGGTGTGCTTCTCTGTCTGGGTTCTGGGGACTGTTTTTTCCTTCCCTGTCCTCTTCAATGACGCATTTAAACCTGTGAACTCTGACAGAATTGTATGTTACGAATACCATAACCCAGAAAGTATAGATCAGTGGAAGCTTGGCACAAGGGTTCTTAGACATGTCCTGGGCTTCCTCTTACCTCTGATAGTAATGCTTGTGTGTTATGGTGTTACCATTAGCCGACTGCTTGGGACACGCAGTTTCGAGAAGCAAAAAGCTATGAGGGTGATTGTGGCTGTGGTCATTGCTTTCCTTCTGTGCTGGATGCCCTATCACTTATCAGTGATTTCAGACACCATCATCAGGTCTGGGCTCATCTCGTACAGTTGTGAGACACGCAATTCAATTGATCTGGCTTTATTTTTCACCCAGAGCCTTGGTCTGCTTCACAGCTGCATCAACCCTGTCCTCTACGCATTCGTGGGACAGAAATTCAGAAGGAACCTTTTAAATCTGCTTTACAAAACGAGGGTGCTAGAACGCAGCTCTTTGTCCAGATCCAGCAGATCTACGTCCCAGACATCAGAAGGAACATCAACTTTCCTATAATCACAGTGGCACCCAAGAAAATATAAAAAATCATTTAAAAAAAAATCTTTATTTTTTATTGTGCAGTCTATTTCTGCAGACTGTTTATTTTTACATATAGCATTTGATAATTGACACCCAATAACACTCAGTTCTCCTGCATTGAGTTGTTGGCCTTTTAGTATAGTGGAATTATTAGCAGACATTGTGAGACTTTATGCTGGGAGAATACCTGGTGATCACAACTCAGCTAAGGATGATCTTTGCACATTAGGCCTTGGTTAAATTTATTTTAAAGTCACTGTTTGCCAACACCATTTTGTCACTCTGCCCATAAATGATTGCTGTAGGTGTGTTATCATGAATACATTTTTCCTACTATACTAAATACTAATACTAAAAACATCAGTGGGTGATGTTAGTCTTTACTCTTTTACCTTTACTCTTATTCTTATTATTACTTTTACTTAAGTCAAAGTAAAGTCAAGCCAATAAAACTATAGTATTTATTTGTTCTGACCTGTCACTCCAGTAAAGCACAAAAACCAAATGTCTGAACCTGCTCTTCCTATCATACTGAGAAGTATTACTATCACAACAAGACATCATCATTTGGTAGAAGGCTCTAGAGATCCCAAAATGTCCATAAATATTATTTGATAAATAATTGGCGGGTCAACATACTAATTTTATCCCAATTCTTAGCAATCTTTCAATTAAAAAATTATAAAACATTTTTTTAAATCAAAGAACATTTGAGCAGAAAGAAATACATTGACACAAAGTGCTGTGTATAATTATTTCTTCAAGAACATAAGAAAGATGATTAATGAGAGGAGGCCAGTCAGCCCAAGTATCCCTTTTGGTAGTTGGATCACTGTAAGTGATCCTGCTTTATTTTTTGACTCTATGATTTATTCCAGCAAATGTACAAATTTTAATTTGTAATTTTAATCTTGCCTGCAGACTGTACAGGTGACAAAGTGGAATGCTCCATAAAGGTGACATGATGGAATTAATCCATAAACATGTGCTGAAGCGCTCAGAGCTACTGAAACCTTGAAGAAGGCTCCACAGCCGAAACGTTGTGTTTTCTCTCTTCTCTTTTCCGCAGGAAATAAACCTATTACTTGTTCCTTTGCAGACTACACATGCTGACGGAGCTACCCACCTGAACCATTTATATAGATTACATCTAAATGTGATAGGTATTGGGTGACTAGAGGCAACAAATTACAAAGAAAGTGCAAATGTTTAAATTAGAGTGAAAATATTAGAAAATCAGCAAGGAAGATGAACAGAAAGTAGAGCCAAGAAACCTCAGGAAAAACAATGAAAAAACAGGCAATTGTGTGCTTATACCTCAATGACAAGGACATTAGGAGAAAAAGGAAATGAAGCTTCTGCATTATAAGATAATTAAGAATGTGCAATTATATGTAATTGCAATCACAATATATGTCTAAAGTACTCCCCACTCATAACAAGAGCAACAGAAGACTACCACATAATTTGCCAGTGATACTTTTATTCCATACTGTATAAGTGAGAACTAAAGTGGAGGATCATCTACAGTACATGAAAGAAGGATTCTTGAGGAATTCCAGCACAGATTTATAAGAAGCAGGTCTTGTGTAACTTACCTGTTAGAGTTCTTTGAAGAAGTAACATCACTAATGGATATAAACAGAGCATATGATACACTATCCTGTAAATACATGCATTGAAAGTATTGGACTAGAAAACCAGGAATACAGATAAATGTTGATCAGGGTGATATAATTTATGGAATGTCACAAGCAATGTTCCCTCTAATTTTTAATGGCCTGTGTATGCAAAAATTGCAAGTTGTGCAATTTTTTTCCCAGTGACAAAAACTTGTGCGCACTAAATTGAGTGTATGTCAAATTATAAACTTATAAAAAAAAAACTTATAAAATTATAAAAGATTTTTTTTGAGGTTAATATAATCTTTCTCATAGAAGCATAGAGATCCAAAAGACTGGGACACTGATTGAACAAGCCCAGTCATAGAGACTGAGTGTTGAGCGAGCATGAGCAGTGAGGTGCAAGACTACGAGAGCATACAGTAGATATTGCTTATCGAGTTGCAATATTAATGCACACAGCCAAGTTGAGCCTCTCGCAGCCAGTCTCATGTGGTCAATTTAGCCAGTCTCATGTGGATGGCCATGTTTGTTTTATTATTATAATTTGTTTTGGAATTTAGTATTTTGTGCGCAGTTCAATTTCCTATGTGCGCTGATTTAATAACCTGGGTGCGCATATAATGTTATGAGTTGTAAAATAATGTTGTGAGTGGTACATAATGCATTATTTATTGGTAATAAACAGTTGTCTTGACTAGTTTGACTCTCATTTATTGCTGTTTCACTGGAGATGTGCCAGAGAATTAAAAAAATCTAATTTTACTTCATGCTTAGGCTATTTCCTGCCCTCTCTATTTTGTAACAATATAAAATGGGAAACAATGAGTGTAAAGTAACCATAAGTATGAAAAAATTGGTTGTTTAATGCCTAAACTATGCAAAATTGACATGTTGTTCATATAAGGCCTGTAATGGTTTTGCTATAGAGTAAGCATGATTAAGCTGCCTCACAAAGTAAGACTGGTTACTAATGTTGAGACAACTATATAATGAGTTAATAATTTATTATAAATTATTAGCTTTATCAAGAACCGAAATGAGAAAGATTTCTAAGTCGTTTATTTAACCTTCCTGAATCTTACTTTCCATCACAGTGCAGTATAATTTATGTGCAAATCTTGTTATCTTGTTTGCCAGCTGTCTTATCTGGTGCTTGATTTCGATTTCTTTAGCATAGATTGTTACTGTTTCTTTATTTTGTTCTTTGAGTTTTCATATCTCAAGTACAAATCAAATTAAACAGGAAATGGTTTACAACGATTTAAATGACATTTTGTTTTTATATTTTATTTAATAATTGCAGATGGATGATAGGGGTGGTGTGGTGTTACAGTGGTTAGCACTTGCTGCCTTGCAGCACAGAGGCCCCGTATTCCATTCCTGGGGTGCTATCTATATGTATGTTTTCCCCTGGTTTGCCCGGGACTAGTGTGTAGAATTGGCTCTGGGCCAACATGAGGTTTGCTAATAGTATAGATCAGTGGTTCTCAAACTGTGGTACGCGTACCGGCAGTGGTACGTGGAGTGCCGCCAAGTGGTACACCAAGTGACCATGGAACTGTGTCGCGTGCGCTGAAAAATCGGGACGGGTTTTCATATTTTGTATTTTAATACGTGTCGAATACGCAGCCTACGTACTACAGTGCGTGCTAATACTTCAGTGGACACAAGAGATACTCTATAATTCTATACCACTCTATAGGAATACGTGCTACGGATACAAGTGACCAATTGTATTCAAAAAAAGCTACTGTATCTCCAGCAAATTGGGAGAAAGGAGAATGTGCGTGATTTTGGAACAATGCCAACGTTGTAAACGCAGGAATGCATAGAAATACGTGCTACGAACGCAGGTAATCTTGTGAGCACACGAAAGCATGATAACAGAAAAATATTTAAGAACTGTTAAGAATTTGAGAAAAATACACTGAACGTCTCTGTGTTTCGCTCCCATGCGCATGAAATAAAAACTTTAAATAAATACGGAAATAAAAACAGAAACGCGGAAAAATGCAAGCTTGCGGATTGCTAAAGCAGGTAAGCTTCACTATTTTTGAAGAACCTTATTTACCGTTGGAAAAAGAGCTGACACATATTATGTGTAGAGAAAAAGCTGCTTAACAGCTCGACCTGCTGCCCCCCTCCCCCTGAAAGACACAGTCATTCATAAAATTACAGAAATGAAGGATTATATCAAAAGTACACTGATAGAGTGCTTTAAGATGACCAGATGTTTTTCACTGCAATTAGATGAGTCTGTAGTCGATTTGGCCAATTTGCTCGTTTACTTTAGATACGAGTTTAAGGGGATGTCCCATGAAGACTTTCTGTTCTGTAAACCGCTACCAACAGAACTACAGGGTAGCACATATTTCAACTTCTGAATAAATTTATCGAAGAGAATGGCCTCGACTGGATAAAATGCGTCTGAGTTTTGTACAGACGGTGCTAGAGCAATGACAAGCCAACATAACGGTGTAGTTGCACGAATTAGATAGGTTGCTCCAGAAATTAATGTATGCATTACAAACTCCACAGCGAGACCTTTGCCGTCAAGAAAATGCCTGACGATTTAATATCTGTTAGACTCTGTTGTATCAAACCTCGAAAAATTTATTCACATCTTATTTGCTCAACTAAACAGGCTCACCCTCTCACTGAAATGGTGCTTTTTTATTAGTTGTTGTTAATGTTTTTTTTCTGTAAAACACTTTGAGAAGCCACCTTTAAAGGCGCTATATCAAATAAAGTTTATTATTATAATATTAATTATATGTATGTGTGAGTGTGTGTGCACGAGCGCTCATGTTGGTCATTGAGAATTTCTGGGGTTCCTATGAGATGATGACTTGTAGGGGGTACTTGGATGCTTTGGTTGGATTAGGGGTGGTACTTGGTCCAAAAAGTTTGAGAACCACTGGTATAAATGGTAACTGCCCTCTAGTGGCTTTTTGCATGAAGTGTAAAACTGTGCAAAGTCAATGACAAAATACAAGTGTTGGTTCCCCTGGTTTGTGTTATTCTGAAAAAAACTGGAAGCCACATTGATTTCACATTTAGCACTGAATTTGTTTTGTGATACCTTACATCGAGCGCAAGCCCTCTTGAAGAGAAGGATATCCTGCTGCCCCTTTTCATTGTTCTTTTTGGTACCTTTTATTTATTTTATATATGGCCTCATAAACAGGTTTCTTTTTTCACTCACAGAGTCCTTTCTGATCAGTTAATTAAATGTATGTAATTAATTCCAAATAAAAGAGTCTGGAATTTTAAATGAATTTTTTGAAAGTTTCAATAAATCTCCAAATGAAAGGAAATTGCATTTTTTTGTCACGACCGTAAGTCCCTCCTCTTAAGGGCAGTCCAGCTCTTTCCTGTTTTGCTTGATTTTCCTACACCTGCCTCCTGTTTCAGCCCCTCCCTATAAAAGCCAGACACTCCTACCATTCTGGGCTCAGCTTTGGAAGACGGACGCCCGGAATCCCGCGTACCAGCGACTCCAGGAAAGGCTCGACGGCATAGGCTTCGCAACGGCATCCTGACCATCTGGGTTCGGGGCTTGGAACGCCTGGCCCAGTTACCCCTTTTTATTTCCGCGACCCTTCACCGGATCCCATTCCGACTTTTAACTTTTGTCGTCTCTGTCATGGATGGATCACCCGGCTCCGGACTTTCACCCACTCTGGATTTCCCTTCAGACTCCTTTTGGACTTGTTTGCCTTGGCCACGCCCTGCCAAGCACCAGTGCACCGTCAACATGCCCCCCTGTCTCCCAGCCCTGTTCCTAGTCTTCTCTCCCCTGTGTTTGTTGCAGATTCCTTCCGGATTCTATCGTCTGCATAGGGTCCTGAAAAATGCTTTGTGACATTATTATTATTATTAGTAGTATTATTAGTATTATTATTAGCCCATGACCTTAACTCTTTAAGTGTTGTAGGTCAAGATTGAAACAGGAACTCTGCTATCTCAACACATAGTGTGGGGACCAACATGTACGATAGATAACAGTGTACTTATTTAATATAGACAAAACAACTGATCAGGGAGCTGCATATAAGAAATTAGATCAGTTGTAGGGGAAAAAAGAATGATTATGAAAAATAGGAGACTCCCCAGGCTTCCTTGTTTCCTTTCAGAAGGCTATTAATATGAAAAGGAATAAGTAAAGGTTTATTCAATGCTGAAAAAATGGGGAAAGGAAACACAATGTTTCAGCTGTGGAACCTTCTTCAGGTGTTAATTTGTTAACTATTCATTTAAAAGTTTTGTCATCAGCACAATGAAAGTCAAGCAAGCAATATTTTCTGCTACTGTATATCCTGAGAGAGAGTCTGCTTCATGATAGGAACTAGAGTGTGTTTGGAACAGATAAGCGTTTTCTGATAATACAACACGCATTAACTGTCATCAACAACTTAAAGTCTTAAGTTGTTAAGTCTTAGTAAAATATTACGTAAAACATTTCAACTCCTAAAGAAATTCCTTGTCAAAGACACTACTACATGTTTTCAATGCTATATGTTATGAATATGTTTACTCAAATGTAAGTATCTGAGTTTTATATTTTTGTCAGGGAATTATCTTAAAATGTTATTAACTCATACTGTAGGTATTTAAACTATGCTTTAAATCTTAATAACTTCACAGGATTTGATATGTTAGATTGACAGCCTTTAAGGTTTTCACTATTGGTTTAGTTTCAAGCATTTGTCAGCTTACTTTATATTCATGGTTAAATTAACAAAACAACAGCAGGTTATTATGGCATTGTAAAAGTGGCACAACGATTAAGTGTATTTGGGTGTTTTTGTAATCTACAGTACCTGTATTTGAAATTCTATTTGGATGTATTGAGAGATAATTAAACCATAGAATACTACTTTGGAACAACTAAATAACTACATGAAGCATTGGAACCATATAACCCCATGAAATGATAAATGTACAATGCATGGTACAGAGTATTTAAGGAAGATAAAAGTAAAATAACACAAAGTTTAAGGACTCTGACTCATATCATGAAAGTAATCACAGGGCATTATAAGTAATAGTACGAACAGCTCGAGGTCAATGATTTTAAATACACTTTTCAACATTTTAGTATGTTTTCTGGACCTCCTATCTGCACTACAAGCCTTACACCAACAAAATATATTATTTTAGCAAAATATTAATACATTTCTCAATCCATCAAATTTCAAAATGCTCTAATACAGTCGCAGAGGGAGTTGGAGCCTATCCTGCAAGCACAAATACATTTATTGGAATGTAAATCCAGAGTCAGAATCTCCTGAGTTTTACATACTTTGACGTACATAGACTTGATGGTTTTCTTAAGTGCCATTTTTAAAAGTAGATAACCTTAGAAATGTGAATATTTACCTGATATAGAATCTAATGAGTGTGTGAATTTAGGTAGAGTATGTATTGTAGATACTATTTCTTTGTCTTGATGTATATACATCTGAGATGTTTCCCGATTATTTTCAACAATGTTTAACCCTATTCACATTGCTCCTCCTCTTTCCTTTGGAAGAAACTGTGTATTTTTAGAAGGAAGCACCAGGTTGCACCAGACCAAATGAAGAAGAAACACTTGTAACATGTACAACAGTGTTACTATAGCAGACACAAACTATTGCTTGTCTTTAAAACAGAAGGTTGTTTCCAGCATAATTGCATCAATCATTTTGATTAGGACTTTGCTGTACCCTGCCTAAACAAAAACAGAGCTATTCTGTTTTGTATTTATGGTTTTAAGACATCAAAGACAAAAACTCAAGAAAGTCTGTGACAGGTAAGATTTTAATCTCCATTTACGTGATTTGCAAATAAAAAATGAAGATGAGAATTAGAGGTAATTTATGAAATGGAAGATGTGTTTTAAAATGAAGTTAAATTGTCTACTAGTGAAGTTCTAAATGTGAGTTGTAAATAAAGTAACAGGAGATTTCTTAAGTTAAATTGTATTACTACTAAAAATGATATTCTTGTATAAGATGAATATTTATTATTTTTATGATTGCATATGTAAAATTGAAATTGGTGTTTTTAAATATGTTAATTAAATGACTGAGTAATCACCAAATTTCTACTCCATGAAGGAAAATAACAAGCAGTAGATAAAGTAAATACCAAATTTATAAAGCAGGAAGTTCTAGATGTTATATTGTAAGCATTTCTAAATCACATTCTTAAGATTTAGATTACAGTTGTTTAGTTAAAATAGTAATTTATGCTACAAGAAGTGCTTGTAAATGTTATGTAAACATAAATAAAACAATGGAGGGGGAATGAGCAAACACTCTTGCACATGTACCCCTGTTGAACTATAGGAAACAACTACAGTACTGTATATGGTCAGCAGAAATATGCTTCTTCAAAAAACAAGAAGTAATGTTGTTTCAGTATGTCCAGATATCACCCTCTTTCTTATCTAGTTTTCACACTTTACTATTACTATTACTAGCATGGCTCCTATTACTAATACATTAGAAATCATTTCTACTTTAGATTATAAAGGAATTAAGAACTGAGCGCACTGAAGCAAATCACGTGAATTCATAGTGTTTTTTTTTTAGGTCATAATAACAGTTATAAGAAAAGGAAACTTTGGAGAAACCTTGTTTGCTTTTTGCCTAAGCAAGTCAAAAAAGAAAATTAGTATTATTGTACTATTAGAAATAATACCAATAAATGTCAATTGAATCTTACTCTATTAGTTACTTATAAATTGAAAATGTTGCGAAGAAGTAGGTAGTAGATTTTTTATCCTCATTTCTTGAAACCTAGAAATTCCACATTTTGTTTATAACTGTGTTATACTTGTTCCTTTATATGTACCTTACATCTTTCCACTATGTTTATTGTGTTACAGAAATACAGATACACAGCTTGGATCTATTTAAGAACTGCACTTCCAGTTGCAAGTATGCACATAATGTTTTTTTAAACAAACACTAAAACTAATTCTCTACAAAATATAATGATTTCAATTATTTAATTTTTGTTGATGCTTTAAATTATTCATTGCATGTATAATTTAATCAATGTTGGTTGTTAATTGATTTGCAATGAAACATTAAATGTTCAGATTACAAACTTTCTAAATCGCAACACATCAGATATGTTCAGACAACTTTTTTTAGAGAATACAATGTTCAGATAAGGCAAGATGACCGATACTGTATTAAGATATAAATGGTGTTTCTCATTTGGATGTCATGCTAATCAATATCATTTGTGTTTTGTAACAGGAAACCAAGATGACATTTTTAAACTTAACAGATTTGGACTTCAGTGACTTCAATTACTCTTATGATGAGAACAGTACTTTTGATTTCGATCTATCGTCTTCTCCATGTTCCCAATCCTTTTTTGCCTTGAACGGTGCTATTTTGGTGAGCATTTATACCTTTGTGTTTCTCCTCAGTCTGTTGGGAAATATACTAGTAATATATGTGATCTGCTGCATGGAAAAGCAAAAATCTTCCACTGAAATCTACCTATTGAATTTGGCCATTTCTGATCTTTTCTTTGCCTTAACTCTTCCTTTCTGGGCAGTTTATGTATATTCAGAATGGATTTTTGGGGACTTCATGTGCAAGTTAGTGTCTGTTATGCAAGAGGCAAACTTCTACAGTGGTATTTTGCTTCTGGCCTGTATCAGCATTGACCGCTATTTGGTGATTGTCCGTGCTACACAAGCTTTCACCAAGAAACGACTACTTGTGCGCACCTTGTGCATTGGAGTTTGGCTGATGGCGGCACTGCTTTCCGTGCCTTTCCTCATATACCGCCAGGCTTTCTATTCAATGTCCTACAACAGGACAGTGTGCTACGAATATAGTAGTGCAGAAGAACTGTACAAGTGGAAGGTGGTCATCCGTTTCCTGCGACACACAGTAGGCTTTTTTATCCCTTTAGTCATCATGGTTTTCTGCTACGGCTTCACCATGAAAACCCTCTTTCAGACCAGAAGTGGGCAGAAGCACAGAGTGATGAGGGTGATCTTTGCTGTGGTACTGGCCTTCGTCATCTGCTCGTTACCCTATAATGTCACTTTGTTTGTGGATACCTTGATGCGAGGAAAGGTCATCACGGAGACATGTTCTTTACAGAATCAGATTGATGTCACCATACAGGTCACCCAGATTCTTGCTTTTATGCACTGCTGCATTAATCCCATCCTGTATGCGTTCATTGGCCAGAAGTTTCGCAACAGTTTCTTCACAGCTCTTTTCCGACATGGTTTCATCAGCAAGAAAATCTTGTCGACATACCGACGGGACTCTTCTCACTACTCAACATCTGGAAATACATCTACAACGCTGTAGACCTTCGTGTTTGGGAGAATAAACATTCTACCCAAGACTGTGAGCAACAGTGATTGCAGATCGAAAACAATAACCTTTACATTGCATTCATTGGCAATATAACAAAATAAAAATAAAAGCAGCTGGTCTGAGAATACATGAACAAACATGTATTTGTTGTAAGGCATGTTCAGACACCAGACATTTAAATTGAAACTTGTGTTTTTATTTTCATTGTATATTACCTTTTAATATGCCTTTTATTTTTTGAGAGCAGCATTTTTTAAGTTTGTAGATTTGTCAGTTTTGGATATACTGTTTGTATTTCAGTTGCACAGATATCACCATATTGAAACGACAACTAACTTGAGCAGTAGAGGGTTCTCTTAAACTTTTAATTTCAGCCTTCTATCCAGTCCATTTAGGGACTTAACAATATGAACATATTAAAAACCTTTGCAAATTATATTATATTATATACTATACGTCATGTTAATGTCCTGTTGAAACTGCTTTTCATATCAAGCAAGAATCATAGTAAACATTACCCTTTGAGGAATTGAGGGAACAACAATGCTTTCCTATGAGAATGCCATATTTCCACAGTTGTGATCTATTAAAGATATATAACCTCAATGCCATCATTGAGACTTCCAAAAATACTACAACATTGTAATTAAGTCTCTAACATAATATTTGAATAACAGCTATTTTAGCTAATAAACCTTGTTTTTTTTTGCACTCAAAAATTATTTATTGATATTACTGTTTAACTACTGATGTATTTTATCCATTTATGTTCAATCTTTGTCCTGGTAAGAGTCACAGTGACATTATTCATCTTCTTTTCCAATAAGAATACCAACATAAATACCATTCCCAGTCTCTTCAACATTACATCATAATAATAGGAAGTATTCGCATTGTTTTGCAATAGACTTTAGAAATGTTTGAAACCTGTGAAACAGAAATTCTAAAAAACCTCAAAAAGTCCATTACTGAAGTACTAAAATATGGTGCTGATTTAATCTTTTTAGTATCAAGTCTATAATCTACGAGCACAATTCTATTTCAAGAAATAAGGAGCAAAGACAAGCATAACGCATTGACTTCTAAGTCACTTATCAGGTGTGTTAATTCGTTCAACGAGCACAAAGAAAACATCATCAGTTGATAAGTTAATTTTTTGCATTAGCTGAAAACTGAGTTTGGTGGTGATCACAATCAACACATTTCTGTGGTCCATTTCTATGATATTTTTTCAATGTGTTGTAAATTAAAACCAGAATAGCTACTACCGAAATGATATTACATATATTGTAACTTTAAACAGAAAGCAGTGAAAGTCAATGGAAAGGTAACCATATGTTCTAAATGAGATGCTCTTTAAGTGGATCTAAATAGAGCAATCACATTCTAAGTCATGAAAACTATTCCAACTGATGGGGGATTCATCACAAACGTGCACTTCAGGTGTCATTTCTATGTAATACAATAATTTGAAAATGTGATATTATGTGTCACTTTCCATGTGTTTTTACATCTCCTTCTTCATTCCCAAACATTTTTGTTCCACAGTGTGCTTTTATTCTATTTTATTCTTGTTGAGACTACTAAAATGATATGGAATAAAGGAGAGAGTTAAAGAGCCGCAGTCGAATGGATTTTATAGACTAGCCTAGTAACATGCAAGTGATTATACACTTAAGTTGTCAATCTTTTAAAAATGTTTACTGGTATCTTAAAGTAATAGTGGTCACTAAGGGCTCAAGGCAATTATGATGTTTTTATCCAAAATCATCTCTATTTTTTGTTGATTTAACACATCACCTGCTTAATCACAACGTAATTGTTCCAGGTCAAATTGGAATTTAATGATGACCTGCAAAACATACAGGATTGGGGTTCTCCAGAATAGCTGCTGGAAATCTGTGTTTAAAAAAGAAAAACCTTGCAGTTGATTCATTGTAGATTTTCTTCACTTTCATACATTTATTTTAAGTTGTTTATATACATAAGTATGTTTATGCACCGTGCAATGCAAAGGTATTCAGACCCTTCTTATGGTATCCCATTTTGTGGAATTACAAAATAATTAGCCCCAGTTTTAATTCTTTGGCTGAATGAAAATTGTTTCCCACTAGTATTTGTCTATACTTTCCTCCATCCATGTCTCTTTTAATGCTTACAATACCTTTCAGGCCCTGATGAGAAGGAGCAAAACCATGCTTTAGTGCAGGGGTGGTATTGATTTGGAGGTGTGCAGCGTTGCAACTGCACCTAGCATTTAGACCAAAAGGTCCAATTAGATCTCATCTGACCACAGCACCATTTACTACATTTTGGCAGGATCATTCAGGTGTTTCAAACTTGATGCAATCTTTAAGGTGACTTATTGTTGGTAATGGCTTCCTTGCACCCTGTCATATAATCTAGATATTGTTAACTGATGGACATTTTTTATCTCAGCCACTGTTTCAAAGTTTCATTGTCCTCACAGTGGCATTCCTCACCACTTTCCTCCTTGCCTGGGGCCACCTGACCTAAACAGAATGGCTCATAAAAGCTTGTTGATATATTTTTGGCATCTAAAGTAATTTAGGGTTGCCATAGCGAAGTGTTTGGATATTTGTGCAATAATGACTTTTCCATTTTTCTTTCATGTATATTATCTGTTCACATTTTCCCTTTTGTCTTTTGCTTTGAAGACTTAAAGTAGGTTCTGTACATAACAAATTGTAATTGAATTTAAACGTGCCATGACTGCAAGCTTTAAAACAACAAAATGTAAAAACTGTGCAAGTGTCTGAATTCTTTCACCAGGAATTGTATATACTGTATTTGTCAATCTTACAATAAATATTTTCTTTTCACTAAATCAATGTTCTCTCAGCTCATTTTCAAGGCATGTGCAGAGCATCCAACAACTGACTTTCTACTGAAATGTAGAATGTTTTTTCTTGTGAGAAACTGTTGTGTCATCACTATTTATTTCTCTTGAGAAAGTACCTCTCATTTTCTCCGAGTCATCTTGCAACTGAAAAACCTCCATTCCATTTCTGCACTGTGTATGTTTAAAACCTACCATATTAACTAAATTTTAACTAATTGCAAATCCAGCAGTTTAGTTAAATTCTAATGAATGGGATAGAGGGCCGAATATGTATAGAGTTTTTGGTGTGACTCGCCCAGCTGAGGGAATAGCACTCTGCACTGGGATGATGAGAGCAATTAATGATCTAGGCCCAGTACATGCACAGTATTTGTTTTTTGCATTGGTGAAGCTCAGGAAGGAGTCGCTCATTCCAAGTAGGAGCCCAAAGATCTAGAGAAAGCTTGAGTTCCAGCGGGTTCCAGCAGCACTGATGATTGAGACATACTATACAGATACCAGCTGTAGGAGGGGGAAAAGGAGGGGGTAACCCAGTCATAGTAGCCGTAGTTAAGGGGCACCAAGTGCAGTGGGGCTGTTAAATGCAGTGGCCCAGACCCAGTGCAGACTTGACACTGAGGACTTGCACCTGTAGGGCAGAGTGGGCATCAGTGACTAGTGGGGTTTCACTCATTTATGACTAATAATTTATATATAATTAATGTAATGCTAAATATGTTAACTGTTTTAACAAAGTTATATCTGGTTTTAAAATATCATAATGTGTTTAGTAAATTTGCACAATCAGAATGTTTATCAAAACAAATTGTTTATATTAATTTATTTTTACAGTGATACTTGTAGGACAGGTGAATGTGAGAAAAGAGACTTTTAATACATATTGAAGTTATTTATTACTACATTATTTCAAGACGTTGACTTTATAGCATATTATTATTTTTAAAATTATGGATATTAAGGTATTTATCTGTTTTAATGAGTGAAAAACTAAGTGCTTCTTGAAGTCAGGAAACGTATCTTCTCAGAGATACATTTTCCAGGGCTGTGTGAAAGCATGAAAAGCAGGACAGGATTGTCTAGTCTGAATATGTACCATCTTAAGTCCTGTTTCCAGCATTGCTCAATTTCCTGTTGGAAACACAGGTTCTGTTCTCAGTGTCCCAATTCACAACCATGGTGTAGCAGAGCTTGTTGCGGCACAGTGACGTCACTGCCCTCCCTGCGCATAACAAGGAACTCAGCTGCCCAGGTCTCCTTTAGCTCAGCCAGCAGGTTCTCTGTTGCATGACACAGAGGCCTGGGTTCGCACACTGGTAGTGAGGAGTGAACCAGCAGGGCGTAGCGGCGAGGGCACAATTCTGTGCAGAACAGCAACGGTCACAATAGTGGTGTTCTAGACTGTGTCATATCCTGTGGCTTTATTGTCTAGAATAAAATCTGTTAATGCATATGTTTAGGGATTGACATGCACCAGAGATCTTTGCTCACATTTTAATGATGTTTTAGTGCTGTGCACACTTGATAAGACTCACAACAGAACTTTATTTAGGAGCGGGCTAAGCTGTTTTCAGGAGTTAATAGAGGTGGTTCAATTGGCAGATACTGTACATGGTCATATTAGCAATAAAGTACGCTTGTAAGTCTGGAAGTGTGGGGGGAAATACTGTTTGATGTGAAGCATGGATAACTACATTAAAGGGTGAAAACAAATATTTCAAATAAAAGTTAGTTCTTTAGCCACAGAAAATAATTATAAAATACATTGCTGTAATTTAAAAACAATTAATGTGACACACACTGAAAAAGATGCATAATGTTTGTTCCTGTGCATACTTGCTCAAACATTATAAATAATACCGTTAATGTATTTTTTTATCTTGAAGGCAAATGGTGATAACAGTTGTATCTCTAACTTCCTTAGATTTGAGAACATGTGTTTTAGTCAGATATAGAGACTTTTGGTGTTCATAAGCAATGGATATTTGATCACTAACTATTGTTAAAGTAAATCTTTTCTGGTTTGCTTTCAAATAAAACCAATTACATTAGAATCTTGTCTTCTCATATTTTTACCACTCTGAAGAATTCCCTTAGGTTTTTTTTAGGAAAACAGTAATAAAAACAACAGAGTAATCTATTTTTCTGCTGCAAATATATCTCAGATTTACCTAAAAATAATGTTAGAATTCTGATCCATTACAAATCAAAGTCAGATTGTGATTAATTCATTGTTAATATGGATTGTCACATGAGTAGCCTGTTAATATATCATAACTTATTAATATGAAATACTGAGAATATTTCATCTTAAGTCTACAGAAAATCACATATTTCTTCATATCTATTTGCATTACAAATAATAGCACCTTGTAAAGTGTTACCAATCTATTCTCTTTTTATCTGTCTTTGACAAATACAGTAGATGTAGGGCTCTGTTTGCATTTTTTCTGGTATTAGCTGTCTCTGGCATGCCATTTTTTAAAGATAGTGCCAAAGTGCTGTCCACAATAAAAATAATCACTAGAATGATTACTATAAATAGCACATGCCCAGCTGGCAGGTGTAATGTTTCAACAAGATCAGTTTCTGTGGTTTTGCAATTGTCAATCAACCCCTGGGTTTCTCTCATTTAAGAACATTCCTTGCAAACTACTTTGCAGTTTAGACATCACCATTGTCAACTTTAGTGAAAATGTTTCTTACTGTATTTTTAATCAAAGCCTTACTTAAGAAAAGAGATAGAGAAATAATGAACATGTGCACCAGAAGCAAAGTTTGATTTTGAAAGGTGGAATATGTTCTCTACATTTTGAAAAATTCAATATGAAAAACACCATAGAGTGTTATAACAGGGCACATGCTTTGAGCCTGTTTTGGTAAAATCACAAGGCCTAGGTAAAAGGAAAAGAAACATTTCATAGACAACATACAGTATGTTTGTTAGTATGCTGAGATAATATTCATACAATGCTTTTATTTCAGTTTTAGGCAGGTATTAATGGTCTTGAAATAGAAAATACCTAAAATGCAAATAATAGAATGGCATTAAATATTTTTTACAGATTTTATATGTATTGGTTTTCTATCTTAATGCATATGTAGCATAAAAATAAAAATGTAAAGCAGTATACAGTACAGTATATGAAAATGTCATATTACCTGAGGCATGTATGCATCTTTGCAAGCCAAAAGTTGGGTTTTGTCATTAGTCAGCTAGTGATTCAGGCAAAAGATAAGGGATTCATAAGGGGGTATATATTTTATAAGGAATCCTTTTTTATAGTAAGAAATAAGAAGGTTTATCATATTTTGATGGCTTTACTAGGAACATGAACACGTGTTATAAAACTGTTTTGATTCACTCTTTCCTTATATTAGTGTGCACTCCAAGTCCAGATTTACAGTATTTGCAAAAAAAAAAAAACAGAAAGAATAAGTATTCTACAATTAGCCTTAGTTTGTGGTTTAAAATTAAAGGGGATATACTGTGAAGCACATATTTAAGCTTTAAAAAGAAGTGACTTTACTACATGCTGTTAATACCAATCTGTTTCAGTCACATTTGTTTTTTTGTCATGACATTATGGGTAGAGAATATTTGAATACATGTTTTGATAGGTGAAATGGAAAATTGTTAAAAAACAGAAAAGAATCCAAACCATTAAATTTATTCCTCTCATAACATATGAGAAGAAAAATGTTTTAACTGGAAATGCCATGTCACATGTACCATTGGTTGAATGTTTATTTTACATTTGAAATTTGTCAGGACATACACCGTGAACAAAATTAGTCATTTTAATTCTTATAAATAACCAACTAACAAAATCAACAATCAATGAACTAACCAACCAACCAGAATCTGAGCATATCAACAAGGCAGCTAACAAATCAGTGAGCTAACAAAAGCCAAACAATCAATGAGCTGAGCAACAATTCAACCAACCAACCAATCAATGAGCAAAGCAATCATCCAACTAGCCATTAGGATTGCAAATGCTCCAGGATTTAACAGAACACTCTAAGGCAGGACAGGCTTATACATTGCCATTTAAACTAAAAAAAGAATTGGTATTATTAAATCTTTAGTTTTGTTCACCTTGTTGGGAAGAGTCCTTGCCGATTTTAAGAGATGTATTAAATAACAAATTCTCTAAATGGTAGCTGCAACAAAAGGAGAAATCGAGTAAAGAATAATTAAAATAATAATAATAATTGCTTACATTTATATAGCGCTTTCTGGACACTCCACTCAAAGTGCTTTATAGGTAATGGGGACTCCCCTCCACCACCAACAATGTGCAGCATCCACCTGGATGATGCGACGGCAGCCATAGTGCGCCAGAACGCTCACCACACATCAGCTATCAGTGGGGAGGAGAGCAGAGTAATGAAGCCTATTCATACATGGGGATGATTTAATCACTTCATGATGTCATATCTACATCACACATGTGCTGCACTTACTTACTCAAACCATAACTTCTCATAATGTGTATAATGCATTTCTGGCTGCCCAGCCCCCTCTGCTTTTTGGCATTCATCTGCCCAGGGATCATCACTGTACAGTTAATCAAAGCTCTGACAGCAACTGGAGTGTAAGCCTACCTGCAAGGGAGAGGCCCAATGACAGTGAAGCACCTGCAAACTTTGCATTTATTATCTCATATACAGTATCACTAATCACAACCGTTCCCGTTCCTGAAATAAAAAAAAATACTGGAAATACAAATTATTCTGAAACTTTTTACCTTTATGTCATTGCTGCCTCTAAGAAAGTTAGGCAGCAATATTCATTTTACAATGGGTGTATGCTCATTTTACAGAGTCACGTGTTTCATTTTAGAGGACAACTTTTTTCACAAAAAATGGTGGCCAGTAGGAAAAAAAACTCACCAGCCATCCATAGATTAATGACATAAGTGAAAATAAGCGACAGAAGTTAAAAAAATGATTTTCTTGTTTGAAATAAAAAATA